AGTGCAGTACTATGGAGACTCCTTTTTTCTTTTTAAAGAATTATAAAAAGATCACATTAGTTGCCTGTGTAAACATGACACCTTGGCCCATCCAAATTGCTTGTTTAAAGGCATTATTATTTAACTATTGAGGATAATCAAATTAAAATCAAATACTTCCAATCTAGATCCATACCTGCCCACAATCACACTTGTTGATCTTTTGGCAGATCTCTACATTGCTTATTGGCTCTACTAGCTTGATGTCATCTGAGCACACCTTATTCTACCACTCAAGTACTGTAACCCTACAATACTAAGTAACCTGCTCAAACGTCAAATCTGGCCCTGCTCAGAGCAATGGACTGGATTAAACACCCCACAAAGGTTCCTTCCAAAGAAGCAATGAGCTCTAGTTTGGATTTAAGAAACGCAGAACAATCAAAGGCAGGATTACCCAAGGCATACACGCAGCAAATCATGTAGATTGCAGCGATTATGAATTTCCAAACCATCATGAATGCATCCCACACTAGCTTTAATCTCACTATTGTAAAATGTTTTTTGGGGAAATATCAAAACTTTGTAAAATCAAATAGTTTTCCACTAATGTTTTTGCCTTATTCACAAAGTCTGTTATTCTGTAACAGAAAGAAAAGGAACGATATGGTTTTTTTTTAAGTGGGGAAGGGAGATGCAATTTTTTTTTGGTCATGCAGTAGATGAAAGAACATGAAGACCATTGATCATATCAAATAAACCAATTTGATAAACTGATTAATGTGCTGATTTCATACTATCACACGTTGTTCTCTGTGTGATTTACATGTATAATTTATCTTACTCATTTAATCTTGTTAATAAAATATCACATTGGAAGTCTGTGCAAATTGCGTGTTCTCTCCCCAGGTATTAGGATTAAAAAGCTGAGGAATCTCTGGATAGTCACTTTGTAAATCTGAGAGAYGGTACAAAGAAATGCCTTACAGCAGATCCGTAACTGATGCTCAAATCACAACCCAGTTTGACTCCACAGGAATCTATTTGCATATCAGTCATTTCTTTTGACTAACAACAGGGGTATCAGCGCTTTTGTGGTGGATATAAACCAATCATCAGAAATGTTGATCACTTTCCTGAGAAATCAATCTCTGCTTCTCACAGCGCTGTTAAGTGAAAATGCATCTGCTCCATTTGGATTCAATAAGACAACCAGTGTTATGACATTATTAAGAAAACACATGAATAAAACAATGAAAATGAGCTCTACTTTGGCCACGCTTATGCTTAAGAAAGGAAATACAATTTCACGGACACATTAATTGGAGACCAGCTATCCCTCTGAATACTAAAGAATTTGTATGAGAAGAGATTAACACAGAATAAAGCCACAGACAACTACAAATCATGATTTATTTAACCAATCCTAAGCATGCAGGASAGCCCATATTTTGAACATTCACACTCCATTCTCAGTGCAGTATGTTAAAAAGATACGGTATCTATCAAATAAATTGAAATAACTTCAATAAATGAACTGCAATCTCCTAATGTACGGTAGAGTTACAAAAAAATGATTATTTCATCAAAAAGTATACCCTAACAATGCAAGTACTCTACAATGTAGCTACAGATTTTGTTCCAGTTTAGTGCGACTACTGCTGAAGTTGCTATAGATACAATGTATTCAAAGGGCTGAATTCCGAATAAAAAATCTTCAACATCATTTCAAGATAATCTTTATTACATACTCAAGCAAATCTGAAAGATTATTGCTGTAAAACCTGCCGATGGAACGCTCATTCGCACGATTTTGAATGATTCAAAAATCAGAGGAACTTTAGAAAATTAATCAGATGATACTGTTCTAAAAGTGATCTGTTGACTTTTTTAAATTACTATTTTTTCAGAATGAAATGTGAGTAAAATAATTTTGCCTGACTGTAGCACCTGAAATATGTATCCAGCATAATCCTGTTCAAGCTGCAGCATATTGTTTAACCCAGTGTCTTAGGGCCTCAGACATGGTTTTGTGTGCCTGGCTACCATTAACTGCTTTAAAACCAGTTAGTTTATTTCAATTGCATAGACAAAAGACAAAAGACCAAATAACATTCTACCAACATCATGAAAATTAGTAACCAGAAAGACTTTATTACGGCTTTCTTTTGCAAAACCCCAACATGAGCTTATCCTTCTTTAATAAAGCRGGAATACAATCTTGAAAAGCAAAATCTTGGGAAACTAGAATTGCTTAAAAAGAAATCCCATCTTTATTTTTACAAAATAAACAAAACATATATGGCAATATCGATGCCCTTAGTTAGGTTATCCCTGTGAAAAATCTCAAATAGTTTCAAAAATGCATTCGGGCAACTTGGCCTGTTTCTACCAGTAGCTCTTCATAAACCTTTGATTAAACAACGATGACATCATTAGACATCTTTCCTGTGTAGCTGCCAGTTGGCAATCACCTTTTCACCTTTATCTTAATAAAGTGCATAATTGTAAAGGCATCTTTTTCAGACTCTGAATCATCCTTTTTATGTTTTCCTTAAATCTTTCCAACTCTTTAACATCTGTATTTAAGATTACTGAAACCCACAACCTGKCCCTAGAATCTATATTATACAGCACTGCTGTATCACCTCCTGCTACTCCATATTTGCAGCCTATCTGTCCAAAGAGCAGATGGGTACAAAACCAGCAGTGGGACATCATCTTCATCTTGACTACTTATAAAAGCAACTAAGCACCAGCACGCCTTTCCATTCATTTGTGTATTGACATAATTTCTTTTTGGTATTGACATACCTTACATGAAGTTAAATGTAAAGGGGTATTTAATTTCAGAATTCACTTAATGTGCGTGGGTCTGAGCAGGGATTACTGACTTTCACGTCAAGTGTTTTGGGAAATGCCACAACAGAGGATGAAGCTGCCACATAATTGATAATCTACGATTATCTTGGCTAAATCTAGCCAATATGAGCCAATACGAGACAATAATGGAAATGATAAGTGGTAATATTTTTTTTTCATATAGACAAAGAGATATTTTATTTACCATAGTATGGCATGGGGTTCAAACGTGTAAAACTGAAGGATTAACAAGAAGCAAACTAATGTAGYCAATGTACTAGTCATCATCTTAAATAGTCTAGGACATAACTTCAGGCTTAATTAAAGTCCTGATGTAGTCCCTGGAAAAAGGAAAGACAAAAAAMCAAGAAACTCTAACAAAAGCCAGCCGTACTTTATCATCTCCAGTAAAGAAAACAGAAAATTTATGAAAGGTGAGTTTTGTCTGGAGTAGAATCTGGGAATTAGCTCATGTTTACTGTCATAATTTTGACATATTTATGTCATAAATATTTGTTAATTTTTAGTCTTCACAGTTTGAAATAACATGTCTATTGCAAAAGTAATAGTGTGCTTATTTACACAACATTGCCAAAAGTGTATACAACATCCAGAATCACTTCTGTGTCACTTCTGTGGCACACTAGGATCACCGGAACCAGTGAACAGATCCTAACATATTGGTAGCAAAGTGTAAAGATGCTTCTTAGTGAAATTCAAATACAAAGCACCATTTTGCTGACAAATCCACAAGCTATTGCATGAGGGAAGAAGAAAAATCAGTGCACTCTCAACAGAAAACACAACAGCCACGGGAGAGCACAAGCCCAGGCCTGGCCTTCCACAGCACGGAAGGCATCTGGCAACTCCTGCAGCTCACCCCATCACTTAGGGACAGGTGAGAGACTTGTATCGGGTACTCATTGCCACTTAAAATGACGCATCAAACAAAGCCAATGCAGCGAAGTCAAGACCAGCACTGCAACAAATCTGTACGTGGCAGATTGGTGACTGTGTTAATGAAGTCACTCAGCTGATAGACAAAATTATTGCTCTTCACTAGATAAAGCACCCTGCATTAGCCTACAGTCGAACACCTACAGGTAGGACACTCAGATGCGCCAGCTGGCTGACAAAGCAGGGACAGCAATGGAGAGGCTACAAACCCTTGGGGAAGTGCATCTAAGCATGAGATGTTAGATACTAGAACAGCTAAATACATCACACTATTGAACAATRCTATCAAAATGATTTAGCTCAAAAAACTAAGAAATAGAAATTTCCACCAACAGAAATAGGCCGATATAAAGTTAACCGTACACAGTAATAAAACACTGAGGCTGCAAAAATCCCTGCCACAGCACACAACGACATAAAATAGATGAAATAAAAAGTCACAAAAGTTATTTTCCTTGCTCAGAAATACTGTAATCTATGAATTCGGGTTTATTATGGTGCCTCACAAGCGCACCTGATTCAGATATGCCTTCATCTGGAGGACCTGAGATGGGAATTTTCTGCTACTCCCATGGTTTAGTCAGAAAAAAAGCAGCCCCGCACTCTGCAATTGCAAAAATTAGATCAAAGATCATCATTCACCCCATACCACTGCCACAACGGTCCACACATTTGTTGCTGTTTACAACTTTGTTGCCAAATGTGTTGTTTTTCCCTCCATTTTCTTACAACAAACAACTATGACTGCCTTAGGAGATGAACTTCATTCTCCTCCCGGAAAGGCCACCACCATGTCTGCATGGCGATGCTTGTGCTCGCGCAGAAGGCCCGTTTACCGCAGACGTTTCCCGGCTCCATCGCTGTCCGTGGGCACCTCCTGGGAGCGCGGTGCCAGGGAAGTGCAGGGCAGTGAGGGACGGTGCCCGCCGGGACCCCCGCTCAGGGACCCCTGCTTCGGGACCCCGCGCCCTCAGGGCCCCGCCAGCGCCGCAGCCAGAGSCCAGGGAAATAACGGGAATTGCGGTCTCGCAATCCCGATGCTTGCCCTTTGGGCAGCATGCAYACATACATGTACGCACACACATATATAGAGAGAGGGAGCAGGAGGCTTTCCGTTCAAGTACTGCCCACGCTCCTTTTCTGCGCAATAATTGCATCTACAGAAATATTTTATTTAAGGGAAGTAAAATAAAACAACTTACCCCAGCGCAGCCATTGCCGYCACGGTGCTCCTTCAGACGAGGAGGATGCGAAGCGAAGCAGAGGCCGGGCGCTGCCCCAGAGCCACGAGCTGCTCCTCTTGCTGAGGGCTCGCACGTTTCGGTTCCTCAACGCCACGCGCTCCAGGTGCGGCTCCATACGGAGCGGGAAGGACCAGYGCCCTTTCTCCTTTCCTCAAAGCTACGAGCACCGTCCATCAACACAGGGCCCAAGCACCCTCCCTTTCTATTTGCTAGTGTCTCCTTTACTCGATCTTCCATTTCTCTGAGAAATGTTTTCTGTAGATTGAAGAATAGCCACGAGTAACCGACCTAGACGCAGAAGGGGCTGCCACAGGGTGCCCCCTCCGCAGGCAGAGCCCTGTCCGCAGCTCCCGCCGCGCTGCGGAGGCGCACGGGCCCGTCCTGCTGCCTCACGCCGGCGCCTGCCGGCCTCGGCACTGCGGCAGCTCCTGCTTTTACAGCCCCAAGCCGCTCAACGCAGTTTTGACTGCAGGAGTTTTCACTTCATCTCTTGCCCAACCAACAGAAACCTTCCAGTTGTGAACTGGTATCAAGAAAAATGAGAACATAACGAAGCTCCCAAGGAAGCAACTTCCTTAGTCCCCTTTTCCCTCCTGCTCTCCACAGGAACACGCAGCATGTTGGGGAGGGCGGCTCAAGGTACAGAGTGCTCCATGGCTTCCTCCTGCCGCTCCTTTCCCCTTCTACTGCTCCTTCCCCGTCCTGCTCTCTTCCTGCCGCTTTCCCCTCTCCTCCTGCCCTCTCCTTTCGCCTCCTCCTGCGCTTTCCCGCCGCCTGCTCCCGCGCGCCGGGCGGGAAGCGGCGCCGCAAGGGCCGCCCCGCGCTGTGGCGGGAAGGGGCGGCCGGCGCCGGCCAGAACCGGTTCAGGGCGGCGAGGAGCGGCCGCCTGCGCGGGTGCAGCGGCGTGGCCGAGGCGG